TGGCTCAGTGGTAGAGCGCTTGCCTTGCATGCTCAAGGCCCTGGGTTCGATTCCTCAGCACCACATAAGCAAAAAGAAAAAAGCCGGAAGTGGCGTTGTGGCTCAAGTGGTAGAGTGCTAGCCTTGAGCTGAAGAGCTGAGGGACAGTGCCCAGGCCCAGAGTTCAGGCCCCACGACTGGACCAAAAAAAAATTAAAAAAAAAAAAAGAAATAGACTTCTTCATAATCTATCATGTTACCAAGTTTTCAAATGAGGATTTTTTTAACCCAACACTTGAAAAGAAGTGAAAAGAAGGGAATAAAATTAGAACTTGGATCATTATTTAAAATGAATGCAAGCTGGATGCTGGTGGCTTACTCTGTAATATTAGCTACTCAAGTGGGCTGAGATCTGAGGATCAGCGTTTGAATTAACAAGAAAAAAGCCAGGAGTAGAGCTGTGGATCAAGTGGTAGGGCACTAGCTTGAGCAATAATCTAGCAGACAGCATCTAGGCCTTCAGTTTATTCCTAGTACAGACACAAAAATAAAAATAAAATACATGATAGCAAATTTATACTACTACCAAAGGAAATTAAAATTCTTACCTCAAAAGCACAAAGCTATTCTCCACTATTATTAGAAAAAAGTGTTATAATAGGTTGAACATATTTGTTGACCAAATTTTGTTGACCAAATTTTTGACAAAATAAAAACCTTTGAGAAAGTATTTGTCTTAAAGTGAATAAGTCAAGAAAAATATGTTTTATTATTTTATTAAAAGGAATTTGGTTTAAGCCACTAAAAATGAAGCCACAGCATTAAATAATCTTTATGTTTAGAAATTTATTTGATTTTCAAGACTGTGTATTCATTTCAATCCTTGACATACATATTTACTAGACACCAAAAATAGTGCTCTATTTAAGAGGCATTAATTAATAACATTTTTGAAATATATTTTAAGAGTACAAATATTTCCAAAGCAAAGAGCAGAGAATGTTGAATGGATAAACACAATGAAATTTGAAGCACATCTCCGATTTTAAATGTATTTCTACTTTTTGTTGTACACTGGATGAATACAACTTTTAAATATATATGAGTCTGCAGGGTATGTGTGTATACAACCACACTCAATACAGAAACATTTCATAGTGGCAAATTTTTAGTGCACTTCAAAAGTGCTACAACAACAGTCATCCACAGATATCTACATGCAAATACTATTGAGCTAGTACTTTAGAGCAAATAAAAAGTATTAGAAGGACTCCCTGGCAAAATCTTTTTTAAAATGGAATTAACCAAAAACCACTTTTCATATGAACAGCATAGAAAATAATCTCCTTTATGATTTGAATCATATATACACATAGTCATATCTAAGCTCAAAAAATAACTTCTTAACTATACACACAGAACTGCAGTGTACACTCAGCAAATGTTAGTGTCAGAAGAAATTGTTCCATGAGGAGAATGTCTGAGGAATAGTGACAGAAAAGAGAGCTATCCATTAAACACTTTTAAAAAGCCAAGGCATGACAAGGACTAAAATGCACATAGAAGGGAGTGGACTAGAGACAAAGTAAACAGAAGGTAACAGACTAATGTGAAAGCAGCAACTAGTTATAATACAGTAATAAATCATGAAAATCATGGACAGGAGAGGTAAAAGGAGTTTGTCTTCCTCATTTGAAGCTATACATAAAATTGTCAGTCAATCACAACCCATGTGGAGTTTGAGTTGGCTAGATTATAATAAGAAACACAGACTTTGCCAAGAGTACTTCACAGGGTTGGTCTGAATAGCAAATAAAACACAAGTTATGAAAATACTTCACAAATGACAAATGCTATACTCATGATAGAGAGTTAACACAATATTCAGCTACAAACTTTCATTTCTTTCAACTCTGGAAAACTATAAAGAATGAGCATGCCAGACCACAGAAAGGAGTATCATTCTCTGCCCCATTACCAGATTCTCAGGAAAACATAGGCCAGCTTCACAGTCACAGAGAAACCTGACATCAAAAACAGAGAGAATAATGTTAACCAATGGACCAAATGTAGAGAGAGGTATGCAAATAAATAAATATGGGGAACGTTTCCACTCCTGGCATTTCCTATAATTCTAGGGAGAAAATGTTTCAGTGTAACAAAAAAAGAGACTCCCTTCTCTGTTTCACCCTGAATCTCAAAAACCTTTATTGTCTGCACATGAGTAGGACTGAATTATCTCATTTTCTCCCTTATATATAGCATGAAGGTTTGAAAGGATAACATGAGGCTATTAAGTCATCAAATTAAGCCCAAATGCATGTTTTACTCCTATGTTAAAACTTCTATTTATGTGCATCCACTGAAAATGAAGCCTGTGAGACTAACCTGCCATACAGTACAGAACACAAATTGTGCATCCTGGGTCTGTTTCTTGTCAAATACCTGTATGGAAGATTTACAACACAGGCTCCCTGCCTCAAAAGAGGTCAAGAATACAAAGTGACAATAGTCAACACTTTTTATTTGCTATTTATTTCTTAATAGTTTTATGATAATTTAAGTACATATTTTGGCATTGACTATTTCTAATAAATTTTATAAGTGCCCAAAACAGCATTCACCCAAATTGTTAGTAATTACCCCAGAAAAAATCATCATAGCAGAAGCAAAAATAATCAAGAATCAGTGATGATTAGAAATGGCTGACAGTATGAAAAACAGAGAAAACCTGAAAAAAGCCACCTAGTAAAAGAACACAGACAATTCATGAAACATTCACGCCAAAAATCATATACCTAATTGATCAAGTCATTGATTAAACTACTACAATAAAGAAAGGCAGGGAACAGGTGAGTCATGGATGTAATCCTAGCTACTCAGGAGACTGAGATCTGAGCACTGTGGTTCAAAGCCAGCCACCCAGGAAAGTCCATGAGATGCTTATCTCCAATTAACCACCCAAAAGCCAAAAGTAGAGATATGTGGCTTAAGTGGTAGAGCACTAGCCTGGAGTAAAAAAGCTCAGGGACATTGCCTGGGCCCTAACTTCAAGCCCCAGGATCCACAAAAAGTAAACATCACCATAAGAATGACATGAGCAAAATTTACATTGTGGCAAGTGCTACATGAAAAATGACCTACTTTTTCAATGAATAAAATTATACAAAAATCTGAAGGGGTTTATATATAGATACAAAACATACTTAAGACAAATTGACATCGTAAATACAAAAATATTAAAACATATTGCATTTATTAGACAATTGGAAGGTTGAAACCTGCTGGAATATTGACTCATAATAAGGAATAATGGTTAATGTTAACTACAATACAAAATATATGCTTTTAAAGGACCACAAAACATTTAAAGATGTATATGGAATATTTCCAATAAAACATTTAGTAATACTTCCAAAATAATAGTGAAAGATATACACCACTTACAATATTGAGCTGGTTCATGAATTTATAATTGTTGAGTGCGGGAGCCAAATACAAACGTATTCACTATAACATAATTTAACTTAATGCATGTTTGTAAAAAGAAAAATAAAATCATCACTGAAAGATGTCCGAAAAGTTTTGAAAGTAGCATATTACCAAGGAATTAATGAGTTCAAAAGACCAAAGAGCAACCCAATCAAACCACCTCCTCTTATAAATAAGGACATTAAGGCTCAGAGAAGTCAAGTGACTCACTCAGGGTCACAGAACTTGTCAGTTCCACTCAAGATCAGAATGAAAATCTCCACACTTGCAGTCCAGGGAGGGAAGGGCTGTCTCTCAAAGCAGTGAGAAATGATCCCACGGCCGGAAGCATTCAGTCCAGAGGCCCCTCAAATTCGAGCAAAATAAAAGCAAGCCCCGTGGCGTGGCAGGGAAGGAACAGAGTCGGTTCATACCAAAAAGGAGCTGCCCGTCGCTGTGATAAGATCTGTTTCTTTGTGACAGCCATGGTTTCCTGTTGGGTTGGAGAAGCCAAACTGGCTGTCTTCCTCCTGCGCAAAGAAGTCCGAGTCAGGATGGACATGCCAGTCGGCTTTGGCTGGAGTCAGGAGTTCTGAGACGCTGTTTTCACAGAGGGTGCTGGAAGGAGTGAGAGCTTCCGTGTCCACGGTCAACTTGCTGCTGGGCGTCAGAGCCTGGGGCTCTGCGCTTGCGTTTTTCATGGCCAGACAGTCGAGGGAGCCCAAGGGCCCCACGCTGCCACTGGAGACATCATCCAGATCCAGGGGGCTCTGCTGAAAGCCAGAGGCCGTGGTTCCGAAGAAGAGCGAGGTGTCCAGACTCTGGGGCAGGTCGCTGGCGGGCCTCAGGGCGCGGGCATCCACAGCAGGCCCCAGGGCATCTGGACTGCTGGCGGGGAGGCTCCCCGCCAGAGTGGAGCTCACGGAAGCCACATCGATCGTCAGGATTCCCGAATTGACCAAGGCCGTGTCCAGCACGGCGGCAGAGCCAGCGCCAGGCACGTCGGAGAAGAGAGACACTATCTCGGGGCCACTGAGATCACTGTGGCCCTGGCTGGTCAGTTCGCTGCTGGGCGTGAGGGAATTGGCCGCCTCCAGCTGCGCCAAGAGATCCTGGCCCAGGTTGTGCCTCTTGGCCATGTGGGTCTTCATGCTGTGCTTGGAGGTGAAGAGTTTGTTACAGGTGGACACCGGGCAGCGGCTCTTCCAAGTGTCCACGTCCTGCAGGTGCTTCTTGGAGTGGATGTAGAGGCTGCTCCGGGCAGAGAACCTAGCACAGCAGCCTTCCACGGGGCACACGAAGGGCTTCGTGCCCAGGTGGGTGATGCTGTGGCCTTTGAGGTGCTCGGCCCTGGTAAAGGACTTGCCGCAGCCCTCCACGGGGCAGGTGAACCTGCGGTCGTCCTCGTGCTTCCTCTTGTGCCGCAGGAGCTTGGACATGCTGGTGAAGTTCCAGCCGCAGCCGTCGAAGTCGCAGAGGAAGGGCCTCTCACCCGTGTGGCTACGCAGGTGGATCTTGAGGCGGCAAGCCTTGTCATACTGCTTGCTGCAGCCCGGGAAGGAGCAGGCGAAGAGTTCCTGTTCCCTGAAATGGGCGCGGTTGTGGGAGAACAGGGCGCTGACGGTGATGAAGGTCTTCTTGCAGCCTGAGAAGGCACACTGGTAGGGCCTCTCGGGCTCGAAGTGACTGCGCTGGTGGGTGCTGAGCTTGGCCTGCGTGGGGAAGCTCTCCTCGCACACCTCGCACTTGAACGAGTTCTCCTGCTCGTGGCCCTTCATGTGTGCCTTGAGGTTGTACACGGTGGTGAAGCTCTTGCCACAGCCCTCGGCGGGGCAGCCGAAGGGCCGCAGCTTGTCGTGCGACTGCAGGTGCCTCTTGAGCTTGTAGGACGTGGTGAAGGTCCAGCCGCAGCCGCCCAGGGGGCACTTGAAGGGCCGCTGGCCCTGGCTGCTGCTGTGCGTCAGCAGGTGCACCTTCAGCTGGTGCTTCTTGGCGAACGTCTGCCCGCACTGCGCCTCGGGGCACAGGTACAGCACCACGCCCGAGTGGCCGGGCACCAGCGGTCCGCGGGGGCTCTGGGCGGCCGCCGCCGGGCCCTCGGCCTCCTCCTCAGGC